GGGAGCTCCCGCCCAAAGATGAGAACAGTACTCCATGTGGGGCCGAATTTGCGCCTTATAAAGAATAAGACGCTGACGCGACGTGAAGTACTGTCTCGCCTTGCTGAGCACACCAAGCTTTTTTGAAGCCAGTTTGGCCTTACCTTCCAATTGACCACGGAACTGGACGTTGCTCGAGATGTCGACGCCAAGTATTCCGATACTGGCTGTGGGAGACAGAGGAGTGTCCTCAAATTGAGGAGCTACGATAAATGGCGACTTTTTAGCGGTTAACGCGCAAACTTGTGTCTTTTTGGGGTTGAATTGGACTAAGTTTAGTCGACCCCAATCCGAGACTTTGGTTAACAGAGATTCGACTTCAGACACAAGTTTGTTCCGGCTCTCGTCGACGTATTCCCGAGAAATATTAGCGCGGCCAGTGTACAGCGCATCCACAGTGCTATCGTCTGCATAGCAATGAATGTTGCTAATTTGCAACATGTCATTGATATGCAGAAGGAACAGAGTAGGAGACAGTACACAGCCTTGTGGAACACCAGCATTGACATATTTAGGATCAGAGCAAGCACCGTCGACAACGACCTTAATGCTCCGATCTGCCAAAAAGCTGGTGATCCAGTTGCAAAATTTCTCGGGGAGCCCATAGGAAGGTAGCTTCGAAAGAAGCGCTTTATGCCATACCCGATCAAAGGCCTTCGCTATGTCCAGACTGGCTGCAAGCGCCTCCCCCTTGGTCTCAACTGCTTCTGCCCATCTATGTGTCAGGTAAATTAGAAGATCACCGGCTGAGCGACCTCGACGGAAGCCGTACTGGCGGTCGCTAATCAGCCGGTGCTCTTCTAGGTACCGCAGGAGCTGGCAGTTGATAATGGACTCCATTATCTTAGAGAACAAGGAGGTAATGGCTATAGGCCTGTAATTGGACGGATCCGAGCGGTTGCCCTTTTTTGGGATCGGGTGCACTAAAGCGGCCTTCCAGTATTTCGGGACTACGCCTGATGAATAGGAGTACCGGAAAAGACGCGTTAAGACCGGTGCCAACTCCGGAGCACATGTCTTCAACACGATCGGAGGGATGCCATCGGGCTCACTCGACTTATGAATGTCCAAGGAAAGAAGTGCTTTGCGAACTGCACTTTGCCGGAACTGAACTTCCGGCATCGTAGTATCACACCGCGGGATTATCGGTGGTGAGTTTCCTTGGTCATTCAGAGTCGAATTGGACGCGAAGAGAGTGCCCAGTAGTTCGGCTTTCTCCTTCGCGGTATGAGCCAGCGAGTCATTCTCCGTGTGCAGAGGTGGAAAAGAAGGCTTACAGAAATTCCCTAAAACAGCTTTGGAGAGAGACCAAAACGCACGTGTTCCCGAAGGGAGACGCCCCAATCTCTCGCCAATTCTGCCGATGTGCTTCGACTTCGCATTAGCAATACTACTTTTGAAGGACCTGGAGGCAAAGTTATACTCCTTTTTAAAGGCGCTAGTATTTACATCACTAGACGCCGACGCGACAGCCCAGGCTTGGTAGCATTCCAGCTTTCGGCGAGATGCCATCTTGCAGGAGTGACCAAACCAAGGCTGGGATTTGCCTCCGATGGGCACTGCAGAGAACGGAATAAATAGTTCCATACCCTGAAGTACCACATCGGTGACAGAATCAGCAACGACGTCTGGATCATCTGGCGAGAAGCAAATTTGCCCCCATGGGTAGGACGCAAAGAATGACCGCATCCCGTCCCAATCCGCTGACCTGTAATGCCATACACGGCGACAGCCCGCAAAGCGAGGCCGTGTTAAGCGCGTGACTGGCACTGTACTCAGGACAAGACAGTGGTCCGACGAGCCAAGAGGAGGATCGACGGAGACCAGGTAGCCGTCCGGATGAGAGGTCAACAGAAGGTCCAACAGGGAAGGTGTATGATCTTCCACATCAGGGATTCGCGTTGGCGAGGTAACCAGTTGTGTCAGATCATATGCCAATGCGAAATCGTGAACAGATCTCCCCGCATGATCGGTGGTACGTGATCTAAGCCATTCAGTATGATGGGCGTTAAAGTCGCCGAGAATCACGATCTCTGCGGATGGGATCTGCTGGAGCACGGAATCTGTAGCCGTTTGCATGTGCTCAACGAGTCGGTCAGTTTCGGCATTGCCGCTATGAGACCTATACAGGCATGCGTAGATTCGCGGATGGTCGTCGCAGTCTACACGTAGCCAGAGGATGGATAGGTCCCGCCCTTCAAGGCTGCTGAGGCGACGAGAGCAGATGTCCTCTCTGACGTACACGCACACTCCAGCCCGCGGTACAAAGGAATGCTCCAGATTATACCCCGGGTAAGAGAGGAAAGAGGTGTCAGCCGGGGACGATATCTGCGTCTCGGTAAGGAAGAGCAAGGCCGGCTTCGCCGTCTCAAGGTGGAAGTGGACGGCGTTCAAGTTGGAATTTAGTCCCCTTATGTTGCAGAAGTCCACAGCAAGTGTGAAAGGGGTAGCCTTATGTTGCCTGCTCCGATTGCCCCGAACAGAAGACGAGAGCGCAAAATTGCCCCCCCCAGAATTCGGAGGGCAGCCTGGGCACCCACGCTCAGGTAGTGTACGAGCTGAACATGGATGCCCAGAGAGGGATTCTCCACCGCGATGTGCGCTGGTGGTACCCTCCTGGGGTAGACTGACCAAATTTCGCACTGTCATAAGTTTAGTGGTGTGGGGGAGGGGTGGGGAGTGGGCCTCCCGGGACTCTCACTTACCGAACGAAACGCGACAGCAAAGCTGCCACTTTACGCCGGACTTCTGTGAGAGAGTGGTACTTAACGGGACGTGCCGGCCCATTCGGCTGCTACCCGAAGGTAACTAGCATGGCACTACCACAGTTTTTGGTTGACTGATTGCACTGGTGGAATAATCTCTGTCACTAGATTATCCCACCAGCGGGCGGTGGGGTCGTCACGTCCCGACGCCATAGTAGATAAAAGAATTTCTAAAAAAACAGCTAGAATTTTTCGCTGAAAATCGGGCCTATACTGAAGCGACAAAAAACATCTTCTATGTAAAATCTTCATGCTTCTATAACTAATCACCCCATTTAATTTCGCAGCATACTGATGTACCATGTGTGGTATATAATATACCTATGCCTTAGCCTTGCTTGCATATTAGTGAATAGTGCCTTTCGAGGTTTGAAAGCAAAAGTGAGTAATATACTGTTTGCATGTAAAATGGACTATATTTCTTGTAAAAAAATATACGAACATATTTCTTTAGATTACCATATTTTTTTAAACTTTATACCAATACTAGCGACTCACCCTCGCTCCGCTCGTTTTCGTCCCTAATTACGTTTTAACGTTTAGTATAGATTTCTCAGAAATTAGATATTTTCCTGCAGTTAAAAGTATTCTATATGTTGAACCGGATAACCAGCTATCTTCATACCAAATTTTATTAAAATCCCTCCAGTGGTTTTTTCGTGATGCGGTAACAGACAGACAAAAATTCTAAAAACTATAGATTCGGCCTCTGTATCGATAATAATGTCTATTTCAATAAGATTTTCCAAAAAATATTTAATGTACAGATTCGGCTTTGTTACAATTTTATTATATGTACTTATATATGTTTATACAATAATTATGAAATTTTAGATAAATATTTAAAATATATACTTGATTGATACTGTTTCAATGATAATGACAAAAGCTTTAAAATTATATAATTAAAAATAGGTTTGAGGTAACTCAAAGAAAATTATAGCTATAAAAACTTTAAAGTAACGAATTTTCTACATTTTCGTTTACACCTCCGTTGCTAATTGTAAAACTCGTATAACAAACATTGTGTTTCGCGCCGCTAGTTTAGTCGAAGACATCGAGTGCCTTCGTACAATCTCTGTGGTATTCGTCTACACAGGTCCCAGACAGGTAGGAAAAGTATTACGACGAATATATTTTGACCTTTGGCGCTTGTGTGTATAATTTTATTACTTGTTTCATTTACTTGTTTCATTTGTTTTACAGAAGTTTCATTTTTTTCAGAAGTGAGATGAAATAAAAATAGAACCCAAATATGAAAAGGTCCGCATTAAATAAAAATAATTTTAACTCCAAGAATAAGAAATACAATGGAATCGGTTAAAAGTACAGGGACCTTTTATGTACATGAAGCACAAATTGCAATGTAAATGATACGGAAGAAGATTATATACATCCTAAATTTGATGTACCTACTACTTGAAAGTTGAAAGGCTAAGTTTAAGTTAGAACAAATGGTTGAAAAGTGTTGTGTTAAAAAATACAAATCTAATTTATGGCCTCTGTCAAGATAATATCTGTATATTTGTTATGCAAGGATTTAGCTGTAGATTTTGCATAATAATAAATAAATGGCTTAAAAAAAAGACACGGATGATTGTCTGTGGGTGTTACACTTACTCATGAAAAAAGGCTGAAATGGGCGCATATAAAAATCAAATAAGCGTAAATTTTGTTGTTTGGAATCCTAAGGAACAGTCCTTCAAAGTTAGAGCAAAATCTAAAACAGGCCAGCAATTTATTTTATTTTCAGATGTTTTCATATGGAATGACTCTAAGACGTTCGTATTTTTTTGTATATAAGCTTGTCTTGTTGAGAACAGTTACTTCGCCAAACACTTAGTTACAGATTACATTTATATGATTTTTAAAGACACTAATGAATTACTCCCTTAATTGATATTTTTTAATTCAACAGAAAAGTATTTACTTATTAAACAAACTGAGAATTGGGAATCTTCTTTTCGAAATCTAGTGTTCGTTAATTAATAAAGGTATAGTATAGCTTGTAACAGATTTTGCGATTGTAAAAAACAAAGTCGCTATAGGTATTCTGTGAATGTAAAATAAATGAAATTGAGTAAAACCTTGATGACTTTTAGGTACAAAGGTTAAATACAACACATAAATTATACTTATTAATTTACTTTTATTATGAGTTATCATCGCTGTGGTTATATAGTGTGGATAGTTTTAGCGGCCCCAAAGTCCTCCTCCTAACCAGCCTCCACCTCCTCCCCAGGACCTCCCTCCCCAACCCCTGCCTCCACCGCCTCCCCAACCGCCGCCTCCCCAGCCGCCCCCTCCCCAGCCGCCTCCTCCCCAACCCCTGATTCCACCACCTCCCCAACCTCCGAGTAAGCCATAAAAACCGGTCTCCTCAGGGGTTAATAGTTCAGATTCAGCTTGGGCACGCTCTTCCATCGGGGTGTTAGGCACCACTGCTGCGTATGTCATACCCACATACACGAGCAGAACGATGCATATCAACTGCAAAGGTACAGAGACTGGCATAGTATCAAGTATTATAACTATTCGTTAACCACTAGAAAAAATTAGTATAAGTAGGTATATTAATTAATTATTTAATTTTATAAATTCTGAGGATTCTTTTGATAAATAGAAAATTTTAAAGCTATTTTTTTAATAGAACTACATATACGTCGACGTATTCAAATTTTGTTATTATTAACCTATGCTAAGCTATTATTAAATAAAACTATCTTTTCGGATTATTTCGCGGATTTATTTTGATTTTTGGTTCCCGACGTTTCGAATGCTTTACAGTATCCATGGTCACGGGAGAGACTGAGGGTTACATGTCTTGAATGTATAGTTGTTACAGACAGCCTACCCACAATTAACAAAATGAAAATTGCACCAATTACATTACAATATTTTTTAACTTTAAATATTTTTATAATTTTAATTATAATTGAATATGGAAAATTATTTATTTAATTTTTGCTATTATTTTTATAATTATTACAATTTTAAAATATTAATTAGTAATCTATATTTAGTGTTGCCATTATTATATTTATAACCATAAAGAAAAATATAAAATATAGTAATAATTATTTAAGCATATAATTGTTCTATGTGTAATTTAAAAAGTTAAAATTAATTAAGGATAATAATTTTAATTTAGTTTGCTATTATTTAAAAACAACTTACTAAGCAACACTATTAATATATACTTTTACAAATGAAAAATGAAAAATATTAATTTGATAAGCTGTCATTTTGATCTACACAGTATGAACTTACTACATCTGCCTGTCTGTTATGTTTATATTTATTATTATATATATATATATAGAAAAAATACAAAAACTGCAATGTAAGAGTATACTAATATGTAAAATCTAATTTGGTCATCTGAACGGGGGCGGAGCCGCGGGTAATGCTAGTAGTAAAAAGCAACACTAAAAGTATGTATCATAATAATTGATAATATTTATTTTAATACTTACAGTCTTCATGATGGAATGCACAAAATGATCTTAGCGACGGAGACGACCTATTTATACAGGCCCAAACTCCTTGTGAGTGAATAGGCAACGCAGATATGTAAATAAATACAGCATTAATTTATGTTTCAACAGAATATAAATTAATGAGTTATAATGTTATGATAGATTTTTTGTGGCGTCGCGTCGCACGCACACTATTGTAGATTAGTTTCGGATCCAAAAATGTCCTGTTTATCGTTATTAAAATATTTTATTCATCGTTAAAATCCTGTTTAATATGAACGATTATACTGCTCACCATAACATTTCCAACTTATATATATTTATAAAATTGCAAAGCAAATCTATTTTGATACGTAAAATATAAGATATTCATATCCAGTATTGTAATATTGTCCGCTGGCACCGACTTCGAAAATATCTGATTAGGTACCTACTCTAAATGAAAACCTCCGTTTAGTTACTTTTTACATTTTAGTGTTAGTAGTTGAACTGCCTCGGTGGTGTAGTGGCTAGCATGTACGGCTGCACATCCGGAGGTCCTGGGTCGGGCCAAGCTTAGTTATTAATTAAGTCTTTCTGTATAGTAAGTCTCAGTAACAGCCCGGAGTTGGGAAGTTGGCGGTGTTTCACCCCCGTGCCTCGGAGAGCACGTAAAGCCGTCGGTCCTGCGCCTTAACTCTCACCGGTCGTGTCGAGTGGTCGTCCCACCGGAGTATGAGAGTGACAGGAATAGAGAATGCACCTGTGTCTGCGCGTACACTTGTGCACTATAATATCTCCTGCGCAGTTGGCTAGTCTCAATGAGATTGACCGCCGTGGCCGGAATCGGCCAGGAGAACATCACATTTTAGTGCCTGGAAGTCGGTTTTTTTTAGAAAGTTTTTATATTTCCATTGTTAGTGTAGACGTAATAAGCTTGAAATTTGTAAGAAGAAAGTTTTTTAATAACATATTCGACTAAACAATTTATTTAAAAAATATATTTATTGTTGACTTTTTTTAAAATCGCTTGACCGATTTCGTTAAATTTATATGGGACCACCTGGGAAGTATTCCCTTTGAAACAAAAAAAATATTTCCAAATCGGTTCAGGCGTCTTCGAGTAATCGGTGAGCATATAAAAAAAAGAAACCGACGAATTGAGAACCTCCTCCTTTTTGAAGAATTCGGTTGAATAAAGTATGCAGGCGAAACCACGACAATCGCTAGCTTAGATTAAATTATCATATTATGCACTCATAAGACAAGGTAAAGGTCATATTTTTAGTAAAGGTTAAAAATATATTAATACTTGAAACTGCAAAGATTTGCATAATTATGTAGTAGGTAAGTAAAATATCAAATTTATATGTGACAAATGATGTAAGCAAATTATTATTTGGTTTATTTCTTGTATCATTCAACATGATATTAAATATCTTTGGAAAACTCGTTTTAGAATAGTATTCATCTTGTGCATTTTATATGACGACAAAACATATAAGAATTTTTTGCCAGTGGAATACCTACTCTTTAAGTAATTATCATATATCTAATATGTACGAGTAGTTCAGCACGTAAAGCCGTCGGTCGGTCCTGCGCCTTAACTCTCAAGGGTCGTGTCTCGTGTCGTCCCACCGGAGTATGAGAGTGACAGGAATAGAGAGTGTACGTTGTGTCTGCGCGTAGACGCGCTGCACTATTATATCTCCTGCGCAGTTGGCTAGTCTCAATGAGATTGGCCGCCGTGGCCGAAATCGGTCAGGAGAACATCATGCACGAGTACATTAATAGATCATGTAACAAGAAAACACAGCATTAAATAAGTTAGTTTAATCACAATAACTATCCTATTACATTTGCAACTTTAACAAGAACATACATATTATTGTCTTTTAAAAAATATTAACTAGTATTAGTATATTCTTTATAGAATTAGTAACAAAAGAAACATTATATATATATATATATATATATATATATATATATATATATATATATATATATATCAAATTTAGCGTCCTCACCGAGCCAGCAAAATGCAAATATTGCAAAGTAAAATAATATATTATTTTTATTTTAGCCTGAACACGTGTCAAGAAGTACTGTATTGTATTTACCGCCATTCCTTTTTGCAAAAATTGCAGAGGGCGCCTCACATTAGAGTTGCGACATGGAAAAAAATCATCGCGACAACACATGTATGACCAGCAATTAAAGATCCGACGAAAAAATAAGTTTTAGAGTTTTTTATATTTGTTAAAATTACATCTTAATCTTTCCTTCTATACCAATTAGTTCACGTATGATGTATAAAAGTAGTAAAAGACTAAAATAATCATTTACAGAAAGCTTTTTAACTTTTTTCTTAAGTCGTCTAATATAAATTTTCAAATTTGTTGCATAAAAGGATAATCTATACATATAATAAAATCATATTGAAATAAACATTATTATCGATACAGAGGCGGAATCTATAGTTTTTAGAATTTTTGTCTGTCTGTCTGTTACCGCATCACAGAAAAACTACTGGAGGGATTTTGATGAAATTTGGTATTGTGATAGCTGGTGATCCAAGTCAACATATAGGATACTTTTTACCGCGGGAAAATATATCATTTCTCTGAAAAAATACAAAAACTGCTATGTAAGAGTATACTAATACATATGTAAAACCTAAGAATTTGGTTTCTGGTCATCTGAACGCGGGCGTAGCCGCGGGCAATGCTAGTACCACAGAAATCTTAATAATAAATTATTAAGATTTATATGTAGTTTTTGTTGGAGTATCTCTATAATTATATTCGGTAACAAATTCAACTAGCTCCCCACTATGAAAAAAATATATACTGTTAAAATAATAAATTATTAAGATTTCTGTGGCTAGTACGATAAAATAAGAACAGAATGGAACTTGTCATAATGGCCGCGGCAGTGGTAAACATGTTTTCTGTCATGAATAGTCGGCTGTCGGACTTTGGATATTTTTATTTGTATTCCCGAGTCATATGTACATATTATATGCAGGTTCTGTGGTAGGCGGCGCAAGTCTCGTCGAAAGTCTATTTCATATTATCTTATTGAGGTTTTCGTAAAAGAATATTGTACAAAGTGACAAATACGAGTATAAATGAATAATTTGACCATTATTCTTATAGATTACCTTTTTAGAGTAGCTTGTTTTAGTCAATTTTACTGGCCCAGGGCGCCAAATTTTAAAATATGTCTTATCACATAAACCACTTAACCTATTTAAATAAAATCAGTCAATGAATAATAGTATTCAAATATGATTAATGCTTTATTTACTTGATAGTAATATTTTTATTTTGTATATGCTGTAGGTACATTTTTTAGAAGCACTAACAGAGAATACAGGTCTAATTTGGTAATTTTTTATTAGTTTATAAACACACGTCTTGTATGGGTACACCTCTTAATTTTATAGTTTTTAAATTTATATGTAGTTTTTGTTGGAGTATCTCTATAATTATATTCGGTAACAAATTCAACTAGCTCCCCACTATGAAAAAAATATATACTGTTAAATTCATAACATTATATCGAGTTATTTTTATGCAATCATATCAGTAAAGCTTAGATTTGTATAAAAATGCATTTTATTTAAGGTTATCTGTCTGTCTGTCTGTCCATCTGTCTATCCGTGTGTCACCGCCGATTTTCTCAGGAACGGGTGGACGGTGGACCTAGCAAGTTGAAATTTATACCAGATACTGAGGTCTGTAGTCCCTATTAGGTGTCTAATATCAAGGTCTTGAGTCAACACGACAAAAAGATATGGGCTTTAGATTTTCGCGAAAACTTGTAAGTACCAAAATGTATTAAGGTATACAACTTTGCTCCCGCCGTTTTTTTAAAGATGGCGCTAGCGACAATTAGGCGTCGAGTAGATACATTATGGATGACTTAAAATACTCTTTAGTATCTTGTGAACATAACCTGATAGCAACAGTAGTTGATTTGTGTTTACATCATATAGTTATTCTCGAAGAAAAATGTCAACTTATGAGCCGAATTGTCGTAATTTGCGGGAAGTATTAATTTATTTTTTTAATATTAAAAACTCTTCGACTGAGGCTCACCAAATGCTCTCAGACGCTTATGGTGAAGTTCCTATAAGTGAAAGAATATGTTGTGAGTGGTTTCAATGCTTCAAGAGCGGTGATTTTTCCGTAGAAAACCGGCATAGTGGTGGAAGATCAAAAGTTTTTGAAGATGAAGAATTAGAGCATTTGCTCATTGAAGATTCGTGTCAAAGTCAAGAGGACTTGGCAAGATCATTGCAAGTGAGACAAAAAACAGTTAAAAATGCCTAAACAATCTGGAAATGATCCAGAAGCAAGGATATTGTGTGCCATACGAGTTGAAGCCTAGAGATGTTTAACGACGTTTCTGTATTAGTGAACTTCTGCTTGAAAGGCAAAAACGGAAACGATTTTTGCATCGCATTGTGACTGTGACGAAAAATGGGTTATTACGATAACCCCAAGCGCCGAAAATCATGGGGATATCCCGGCCAAGCTTCTGTGTTTACGGTTAAACCGAATGTTCACGGCTTCAAGGTCATGCTCTGTGTTTGGTGGGACCAGCTCGGTGTAATATATTATAAGCTGTTAAAACCGTCTGAAACAATCACAAGAGATCTTTATCAAACGCAATTAATGCGTTTAAGCCGAGCATTGAAATAAAAACGACCGCAATCCTTTGAAAGACATGATAAAGTAATTTTGCAACGTGACAACGCTCGGCCTCGGGTTGTAAAAGTTGTCAAAACATACTAAGAAAAGTAGAAATAGGAAGTCTTACCCCACCCGCCGTATTCTCCAGACGTTGCTCCCTCTAACAATCACCTATTCCGACCTATGGCACACGGCCTGACGGACTAGTACTTTCAGTCTTATGAAGAAGTCCAAAATTGGATCGATTCATGGATCGCTTCAGAAGATGACCAGTTTTTTTCAACACGGGATCCGATTGTTGCCAGAAAGGTGGACAAAAGTAGTAGA